TCCCGTGGTTACTGGAAACATCATTCGCCAGGTAAATGGTTTCGTCAAGCGAAGAGCATAGGCAAGATCCACAATGAGAAGGCGATATAACTCTTAGATACCGGCGCCGAGGTGTCCATCGTGGACACCTCCTTGACTCATAACGTTGGGTGCTATATCGACTCGAGTCAGATCCAGGACTGTGTGGGAATTGGTGATAATGTGTACCAGACGAAAGGAAGAACCCGGATCAAGGTAACTCTTGCCGGATCACTGGTATATTTCTTCTATATCTGGGTGGGTGATCTGACTGGCCCACAAGCTATACTTGGTATGGACTTCATGGTTCCAGCCGGGATCCGCTTAGATCTAGTCCATGGGTCGATCAGTTGGCCATATGAAGTCCAGATCCAGCTTAGTGGGAGGCGGCAGCTTTATAGCAATAAGGGGAAGATCGTCAACGTTGGTCAATACCTTCGGATCCAAGGAGGAGGGTCGGTAGAGCTGCCATTGCGCCTGAGTTCGTCGATCCACGACAAGCTGTGGGTCACGGGTGGAGATCGATGGGTGCCTACAATATCCGGTGGACCAGGGAGGACGAAATACATTTCGATCACCAATATCAGGGACAAGGTGTTGATCCTGCATCAAGACCAACGGATCGGGATCTGGCTGGCTGGAGATCATGTGCCGCGGATACCGGGTTTTATCTCGATCAGCTCTCGTCGTTACATGGAGTGGCAGCATCTAGCGTTGGAAGCGATAACAGACGCCCGATCGGAAGGAATAGAGGCCAAGATTCTCCTGGTGCCTGCGGTGGAGCGGCCTGAGTATGAAACTCCACGCATGATTCTCCCAAGACCGAAGACGACGTTGATCCAGTGTCGGAAGGTCGAGGCGAGCCAGGATCAAGATATTCCTGACTGCCCACCGTCGGACAAGTCGCCGTCGGAAATTCGACCGTTGGATCTAGCGCATGTTGCAAGTGAGGAGTCGGATCTGTCGTCTATTGCGAACGAAGACTCTATATCACATGCCGTAACGGTTAAGGAGGCGCTAGAAGATCTCGATCAAGTGACGCCAGATGTGTGGGCGACCAATCCGTCGATGGGGGAAACTACATACGTGGAAGGAATGCGAGAAGAGGATTGCCGAGATGAAATTGAGGATGTCAGTCAGGATTAACTACATTCGAGAGGCCAAGATCAAGGAACATCGCCGTCGGAATGCAGCGGACCGGATCTGCCATCAATGATGAGTGTACAACCTGGGACAGGACATGTGGCCGGTGATCCATGGAACGACAAGTGCGCCGCATCTATGTCCCAAAAAATGGAGATGGATCCATCACCTGTTGTTGAAGATCAACCAGGCACATCGGATCTGGGCCTTACTTGGGACCCAGATCTAGATTATGATGAATGTGTGTACTACCATGAAGGAAGTGATCTATACGCCGAAGACGTCGATGGTCAGATGGCGGTACTGCCGGAAGTGCCAGTGACGACGGAAGATGTGAGCATCGAGGACATTCAGCTATGTGGATATGATAATCAGACCCCAGAAGAAATTGACCGACAAAGGGTCTGGAAGTTCCGACATCTCTTGATCGGCAAGGGAAATGCCATTCCGCCGGCGGCTAGAGATGTGGTGTGCGATATAGATGTCGGGGGAGCGAGACCTATCGCCCTCAAGTGTCGTAAGCTACGGATCCAGTTCAGGGAGAAGCTGGCGGACTTGATCAAGGGTCTATTGTCCGCCAAGATGATCAATTACTCTAGATCACCATGGGCTTCCCTGATCGTGGTGATCATTAAGTAGAATGGAGTGGATATCAGGCTATGCATTGATTATCGGTTGGTTAATAGCCTAACACAACTGATGGTATACCCGATGCCCTTGATCAACGATCTACTCGAAGATCTGGAGTCGACACTTTGGTACTGTTCTTTGGACATGGCGAGCGGATTTTGGGTAGTGAAAATGACGGATCGTGCCCGCTTGATCTCGGCTTTTATCAGGCCGTTCGGGTTATTTGAATGGAATCGAATGCCTTTTGGGTTGAAAAATGTGCCCCAGATCTATCAACGTATGATCGACAACGCGCTATGTGGATTCACTCGGATCCCGAAGTCCGAAGACCACGGGGGTACTCTGGATGTGTTTGAGGACGGGGAACCGGTGGATCCAGTCAAGCCATCGGTACTTGGGCGTAGATCATATATCGAGGACATCCTGATACCGGCCAATAACTGGGATCAACTATGTGATCGAGTCGAAGATCTACTTACAGCGTGTGATGAGTGGAATTTGTCGATCAGTGTGGTTAAGACCTTCTGGGGAATGCCTAAGGTTAAATATCTCGAGCGTAGGGTCTCGCACAATGGTCTGGAGGCGAACCCGAAAGATCTGTCTGCATTGACTGATCTAGCCTTTCCAGGATCACTCAGAGCTATGCAATCATTTTTGGGAAGTCTAAACTATTATAGCCGGTTTATTGAAGACTACGCGATCTACGCGTCGGTTCTGTATGAATTGCGAGAAATCGACTTTGTTGCGATGATGAAGGAGGCTACCTAAGCGCGGATCCAACAAGTACTGAAAGTGGAGAACGTAGATCAAGTATCGCAGGAAGATCGGGGTGTCGACCACCGAAGGACCTTGGATCTGGAGGCGCCCGACCCTATTGAGGTGGATCCGCGTTGGATCCATGCCTATCGGTCTTTCAACGTGCTTAAAGCCAGGATTGCTACAACTCCGATCTTACGAGACTTTGACCCAGATCGGAAGGCCACAGTGGTGGTGTACGCTAGCGATTGGGCCATCTCGGGAGCGTTGATGCAAGAATACGACCAGATCTACTATCCCGTGATGTTTGCAAGTCGTACTCTGAAGTCGAACGAACTAAACTACGGCATCGCGGAGAGGGAGGTATTAGCCCTTCTGATGATCCTGGATCTTAATTATAATGCGTTGGTCGGGCGTCCGATCCATGTGTTAACCCGACACTCAACATTGGCGCGGCTCTTCAGATCCACAGCCCTACAAGGACGTTTAGGCCAATGGGCTGCTCTGTTGTCACCTTGGACACTTGAGATCACCAAGTGTGTCAAAGGAGAGGACTATCCTAGGGGCACTGGCGGCCAATACTACCCCTAGATCAGAAGTGGATAAGGCATTGATCTCAATTGCCCAAAAGGAGCCAAGATGGAAGATCCAAGCTCCGATCCCCACTATTAGACGAGATGAGGAGCTATACGTCGTCAGTTTCGATGGATCGGCCCGTGTCAAGAGAGGTGGAGGCGCCTACAGCGCGGTTTTGTGGAAGCTGCCCGAATGGAGGGTGCTGAAAGCCAGATCAGGGTACGCCGAAGGCTTGACGGTGAATGAGGCGGAATACCATGGGTTGTTGCTATGTCTGGACTGGATCTGTTGGAGGATCTGGATCCACAGCGTCTGGTGATCTGCGGAGACTCAAACCTGGTGATCCGACAAGTACGAGGAGAGATCGACTGTAAAGCGCCAGGTCTGACACTGTTACGTCAGCGAGCCTTGGATCGACTACGTGCATGGCCAGATCATGAACTATTGCACGTTAAACGGGACTGGAATGGGAGTGCTCACAGCCTAGTAAGTGCAGCTCTGCAGCGGCAATGCGGGATCAAGATAGAGTCTAAGGCGGAGATCCAGGATCTCCTAACTTTAAATAGGTTGGATGAGATCCTGATGGTGAAAGTCGAAGAAGAAATCGTACAGGTATCAGCGGTGACGACCCGATCTAAGGCTAGATCGGGGGTACGTGTGGGATCTGATCCAGACTCTTTACGAGAAGAAGTCGTGAGAGAGCTACGGATCGAGCGGATCCGACAAGCGCAGGACGAGGAGTCGT